CTGGAGTCGAACCAACCCGCTCAAGCTTCTAAAAGGCGAACAGGTCGGTCCGCAGAAACTTCCACTCCAGCGCGGAACGAACACCCGTTCGCGCTCACTGGGCAACCGGGGGCACGGCCAGGAGGTTGACCAGCTCACCGAACAGGTCTGACTTGGGGTCCACAGGCTGCTTAGTCATCTCGAACAGGAGGTCCCAGATGCTGTCGAAGTCTGGGTACAGTCGAGAGCAGCCCAACGAGTCACTGATCTCCCACTCGCCTCGGGAGACTTGGTCTGACAAGTTTGCCTTACTTGCAACTCTGACGAAGATTAGGTTGAGCCTGACAGTAGCAGCCCAGCACCAAAACCAGCCTAACAAGTTGGTCAAAAGAGGGTCCTTGGAGTAGCCCTTCTTCAAGGCGTGCTCACTTGCCACGTTGTCGACAAAGCACAGCACGTCACCGGACAGGACCCTGGCCGCTGCTGCTATGCTGACGATCTGTCCTATCGCCTCCAACCAAAAGATGAAGGCCTTGGTGGTGGCAGCTCGTGCTAACAAGTGCCTGGGAACCGTGGCTCTGTAAGCCCACTTCTGTCCTGAGTTTGCGAACAGGACTGCACCGAGTCCGTTCACGGATCCTCTCAAGACTTGCAAAGGGGTGGTTTGTTTCAACCACTTGGCAGCTGACTGGAAGCACCCTGCCAGTGTCACGAAAGCGTCCGCGTACAGGACGTGCGGACGTGGGGTGTTTACTCCTCTCTGCAACGGGAACTCACGGGGCTTCAGGGAAGGTAGAAGAGCTAACAGGTTTCTTAGGGCAGCTGAGAGGGGTTCGTTAAGCTTCTTCTGCGGGAAAGGGGAGTGCTGACGTGTGTAAATGCACTTTAGCAGTGCCTTGCCCGCTCCGCCAAAAACCCAAGAGCAAACGAAGTTGAGTTTTCCTGCCAGGTGGGCGGCTTCTTCGGGTGTCAGGCTGTCGTCTGACAGGATTTTCTCGAGTAACGACTGGAGTTTCTCCAGTCGCCCCTGACTGGGTCCCGCTGTGACAGTCTGCTGAAGGATCTCCCAGAGGACCCCTAACAGGGTAGACTTGGAGCAAGGTTTCTGGGCTTTGCTCTCTTTCATGGTGAAGCCTAACAGGGACTGCAGCAGGCAAAAGCACTCAAAAGCTGAGTCTGCTGTCTTGTCAGGCTCGCTGAAGTAGAAATCGTCTACAAAATGAGAAGCTGGGATGTATGCCAGAACTAACGTGATCAAGCAGATAACATCGGCAATTCTCAAGTAAGCCCAGACACTGCCTGTCCCTCCGAAAGGAAGGACGAGGTGTTGAAAAACCTCTGGTCCTTTCTCTGACGGGACGAACACAAAGCATTCGTCAGGATCCCTGACTGGGAGTGCCCTATAGGCACCATCATGGTCGAGAGCTGCCAGAACTGGCTGGCCGAAATCTGCCGCTGCTTGGACTGACGTGAGGACCGTCTGCGTACCCGCATAAGGCGGTGAGTCGAGGACGAACACTGTGCTGTTGTGTCCTGACCGGCGCCAATCATCCGCTCGGCGAACCTTGTCCTGTTGGACTACCGGGAAGGCTCGGGATCCGAAAGCTGCTGGGGACTCTGCCACTGTGGCGGGCACGAATGGGCCTTTGAACCTGGTCTTCGACATCTCTTTGTCAATCTCAGCGAGCATGGCGGGGGTGTGCTCGGAACCTCCCTGCTCCTGTGCCAGGGCATGCTTGTGTTCACCGTTCAAGGATGCGAACTGGGATTTTGTCAGAGGTCTGCTGTACTTAGCGTCTTGACGAACGTCCCAGTGGGTACCTGGAGGCAGGGGTCCTAGAACCTTAAAACCGAACTGGAGCTCGTCGGCAAGGTCTTGAAGTCCTGGGAATTCGAACAGGCGCAAGAGGTGTAAGACCACTAAGGGCTGCAAAACGAACTTGTCTCCGCCCTGCTTGTAGACTAGACGAACGTGTTTGGGTGCTGACTGCAACCACTCTTCTTGTTCGTCTTGCAGGTCCTCTCTGAGGGCCCGGACGTCTCTGACAACTTCTTTCCTCCACCTTTGCAGCTCGGAGCCCAAAGACTGGCCAAACTTCAGTGCCCAAGTAAGGCACGGGTTGTGCGGCGGAAAGTTGAGGGTGGTACCTTCAATGCCCAGGGCCCAGTGAAGGTGTTCTAACGGGTTCTCCGTGGGTCCTACTAACTGTAGTGCTTCAGCTTCGCGCGGGTCCCACTGGATGCCGGACCTCAGCCAAATGGCTGCAGCTTGCTCCACTGGTCGTGAACCTAATGGGTTTAGGTTAGAGAACCAAGGCAAAGGCTCGACTGGGGGGTACCACGCCTCGATGGGACCCGACGTGACAGGAATCACGTTGCACACAGCCAACAACACGAACAGAAGGAAGCGTGCTGTTGGTAGATGCCAAGCGTTGCCTAACATCTTGCAACGGTTCTTTGAGCTGACTGGCTGTCCTGGGGGCCGAGTTGACCCTGCCGGCAGTCCCTGTAGCCACTCGCGTGTCTCGGCATCTGGTGTTGTGAGGCTGCCTTGGATCGTCACCAGGCTCGAGTGCGATACTGGTAAGGCGGGTACTGACGGGACGCCGCGGCCCACCGATGCAAAGTCTCAGGGCTTTCAGTACGTCTGCGCTTCTGTGGTGGGTCCCTGCCTTTTTCTGACGGGGCTGGCGTCGTCAAGCAAGGAAAAACCGACCGGCCGGCCACCACGTCTGGGTGAAAGACTGCTGTAGGACACTCGGCTGCGCTCTGACGGGGAAACAAGTTGGAGCTCGGCACCAACTGCCAGCAACGGTTGTAACGCCTCCAGCGAGCGAGTCCCGCGAGGACCGCTGGTGGTTGGGTACAGTCAAGCGCAGGTGGCGACAAAACGTTCGACCACCAAAGTCTGGGCCGAGACACGACGGCCCAAGAGGCCGCGTCGACAACGAACGAGTTGTGTCCGACTAACCGACTAACTTGTCTAGTTCGCGGTGAACTTCGGCAGAAGGGAGCACGTTCTCGACCAGGAAGACGTGTTGTCGCTGCAAGGCTGCTCGAAAGGTAGCAAGCCACTGACACCACTGGCGGAATTTGCAGCCTTCTTGACCTTGTAAACCTGGCGGCGAGTTCCTGACTTGACTGAAGTCGGTGCACGGGGGGCTGGAGCACACCATAAAACAAGTGTGTCGGAAGGGCACTGCGAGTGTAGAAGAGCTGCAACCTGACGGGGGTCGGAGGACAAAGCATCCCCCCAGTGACGGACAGAGGGGAAGTGAGCAGAGGTAACACGCCGGCACTCGGGGTCAGTCTCCCAAGACCAAAGGAGAACCGGGTGTATGCCCAAGTCGCGTAGAGCAAGAAACGTGGCGCCGATGCCACAAAAGAAGGACAGGACTGCAATCCCCCTTGACGAGGGTTTGGGTGCACGGTGAGGCACAGAGGTGTGTTGTGGTGGCTGCTGACGGGCGAGGGGTTGCACGAGGTTGGAGTGTTGGCCAAGTCCAGGGTGGCCTGACTGGGAGGAGGAGTGTGCTTGCAGTGGGAGCTCACCGGGACGGGAGCTCGACACACGGGGGGTTGCAGGGGTGTGCTCAACCTGACGGGAGCACGATGCACGGGTATGGGTACCGGGGGGATACGCAGTGTGGCCTGTGGTTAAAGCTCGGGCAGCTGGCGAGCCAGTCACGTTGGGAACAGGTTGAGTGGGAAGGTTTGTGACTGACTGGGCGGAAGCAGAGGTGAGGGTCGGCCTCACACCAGAGTGCGTGCCTGGCAGAGTGCAGGCCTGACTGGGCGCAACTGACTGCGGTCGCACAGGGTGAGGGTTAGGGTTCGGGTCCGCACACCAGGCGGGGCTGGAAGGCACGGGTTAGGGGCAGCGCTGCAGGGGTCTAACGTGGAAGTCCAACCTAGGGGTTTAGGGCCTGCACACCCAGAGGGTGCAGGGAGACACGGGTTAGGGAGGCCGCGAGGGGCACTTTCTGGACAAGTACTGACCGGGGTCTTTGGGCCTGCACACCCGGAGGGTGCAAGGAGACACGGGTTAGGGGAGCTGCTGCACGCGCCTGACGAGTCTGTCACACCTGACACTTGGGGCTGAGGAGTGGGCGGAGTGGGTTGTGTCTTCTGCCCTTCCTGTGAACGGTCGGCTCTCGCTGACGGGGCAGACAGCGGGCCGTGCTGTCCCTAAGGGCGGGGCCCCGGGGCGAACGGGGCTGCTGGAAACACTGGCGGGAAGTGCGGAGGCGGGGCTTGCTGGCTTGGTGTCTGGTTTCCGTGTGCGAACTTGCAAGACGCTCCAAACTTACAGTAACCTTGTGCAAACAGGCGGCACTGAGGACGGGACTGCGTGAACTGAGAAGCTGGCCGGTACGGGTGTGGCTGCCAAGGTCTTAGGAAACCTTTACCTTTGCCTAGATCAGAGCCCTTCCAGGAGTCAAAGGATTTCCCTTTCTTTCCTTTGTGATCGCCTTTCTGCCTTGGTCCTGCGGGGCTCTGTGTTCTCTGACGGGGCAGGCCGATTCAGTTCGTCCTGCTTGGGCCAGGACCTCACCTCGGCGGAGGCTTCACTGAAAGACTTACTGGCACGCATCTGCAAGGTTACGTGCAAAAAGGCCTTGTCGAAAAACGCCCTAACCTGCGGTGTCCTACTGGGGTAGTCTCTGCAGAGGTTCTGCCAAAACTCGGCCCAAACAGACGCGTCGTGCTCATCACACCAACGGGCAAACATGAGAGCCCATTTAATGGCCTCGATCGCATCAAGCATGGTGACGAGTTTCTGAGGTTCGGGTACCTGACGGGAAGCCTTAGTGCCTTAGTGAAGGTGCCTGACTCGTCAAGAATGAGTCGGGTCTTGCTGTCATCCTTCGGAGCAAAAGGGTTTGCTGACTTGCTAGGGGTAAAGTGCCTCAAGGAGATTATTTCTCCTAAGCGAACTGGAGAGTACTGCTTCGACGATTGGTGCTGGTGCACCATTCTGGAAAGGACTTCCTCTGCTCCTAAGAGGAGGTGGGCTGGAAAAACCCTATTCCGTCCTAACAAGGTGACCGACTCGAACTCCTTCACGTACTCTGACCAGTAGTTCTTAGGAAGAACTTTGGGCACTTTCTCGGTGGCTTCCGACTGAGAGGCCTGGGACTGAGAACCTGACGGGGAGGCCGAGGCCGGCTGGGGCTGCGGGGCTCATGAGCTGCGTGTGCAAAAGCGTCAGCTCATCAAGAGCTACCTTGGTCGCAGCCTCAAGTATGAGGCGCTCATCATCGGATTTCTTGACGGTTGAGCCATTTATCTCGACTCCTGCTCTAAGGGGTTCCCAGAAAGGGCCTATGTTCCCGCTGTCCTTGAAAAAGTGAAGGAACAGGCCACTGTTCGAGATCCCCTTCTGTTTCAAAAACGCTACCATCTCTTTGTCGAAGCCGGACCGGGCGGCCACGTCATTGAGGTCTGGCAGAGCTGCTGGCTGCGTCATGGGGCTCCTCTGATCCCTCGGAATCAGTCCCCGACTCTACGTCCCTGGCTTGACTGTCAGCGGCTGGCAGAGCAGAGAGGCCTCCTGACGAGAAACACATCGAGCACTTCGTGAACCCTTCTAGGACTGACGTGTTGCGTCTAGTGCGGCTAGTGCCATACCACCACTTGCCACAAAAGGTGACCCACCTGTCACTTGGGAGTTGCTGTTCGCTTGGGCTGGGGCGGTGACACATCTTGGACCTAGGGTTGTGCACTAAAAGCTGAGTGCCCTGTAGTGCCTTCTCCACTGCTAGCTTGATGGAGTCCTGAAGCGAAGGCTGAACGCTACCTAGGGCAGACTGGCTCCCACTGGCTGCTACCGGGGGGTCGTTGGGGCTCACGTGTGCAGCCACTGCTGACGCAGCTTTTTCAGGCAGCAACACTGCAGCTTCTTGGACGTACCTCAACACGGCGCTACTGCCCCAACGGCCTAACAGCTGTATGTAGGGGACATCCAGAAGGGCCCTGGCAAACATCTGGGCCCCAGCGACTCTAAAAACGTGCTGGGACCAGCGGTTGATCGCCTCAGGTCCCCAGGAGTCGAGCTGTTCCTGCTGCAGGATGAAAGCGCAGGCCCTCGCTAACATGATCACCTGGAACTTGGATGCGACGCCTCCCGAACGGGGTGCAAAGACGTGAGTCGTAGGTGTCCACTGTTGCTGCTTCCTAAGGTGGACCACTACCTGGAGCAAGGCGTGGTACACACACAGGATGTGCAATCCCGATTTGCAACCGCATTTCTGAAAGGCGGTGCCGAAGAGCTCTGGTGGGGTGGTGTCACGACACCCTGCCTCGTGACGAGGATCACAGATGCACTTATGCACTCTGTAACAGCCCTTAGCTTCGGTGTCGGTTTTACTGACGGGGAGCTGCAACTTAACCGTACGGGCCTGGCGGTTGAACACAACGTCTCGCGCCTGGACATTGGCCAGCTCAATGCCTCGCAGCATGAACCAGCATGCAGTAATGCACGCCTGGGCCGCGAACTGGAGGCGATCGTCAAACGACACCTTGAGTTCCAGGTATGCTTGCTGGAGAAGGGCAGCAAACCTATCATTGGCATTCTCAATGCGGAGGTCCAGCTTGGGTGTGGCTGGTCCGAGGCCTCTGTTGACACTCCTGAGGCACTGAGCTCGGCCTTCATCAAGGTCGGGTCCCCACGTGAAACCGGCCTCACGATGTTTTTGCTTCGCTACTGACACGTACTGTGCTGAAGAGCGATACCCACCGGCTTTTAACAAAGCTCCGATTGCGAACAAGGACTCTCTTGTGATCGGGAGATTTGGAAAACCCCGCTTCGCTGACAAGCGGGTCCAAGTCAGCCAGCGACTCTCGCGAGGGGCCTGAGACGACGCGGCCCAGCGGTCTCTCAAAAACTGCCTGTCGGCCTCATTAACGTCCAGACTGACTGGTTCAGCGAGCCCTGACGGGCCGGGTTCCAGACCCAATCGTTGCAAGGATCCCCGTGTCCGGGGTTTCACTTCGGGGATATCCTGACGGGATTTCTTGCTAGGTCTAGCAGGGGGTGCTAACAAGGTATCCAGAGCGACATCACCGAGGATATGTCGCAACTCTCCCCTTGGTCACGACTCGAGGTCGTATGCTGACTTGATGCCAGCCGACTGTAACTGGGGAAGGAACCGAACGAGGTCCTTACCCTTCAGCACTTCCACCAAGCTCGGAAAAGTATGTCTTTCTGAGCTAACGAGGTCGTGCCACATGGCTTCGCACTACTTCACCTGACGGTGATTAGCTTGAAAGTGCTCGAGGCAGCAAACGCTGCGACGTTCACATTTTATCTTGCTCTGACGAGCAGGTCTGGGGTCCTACTGACGAGGGCTCTCTGGAAGAGAGCGTAAAGTCGACGAGGGGAACAGGCGAGAACACCCAAGAGAACCCGGACGGGAGGGGGGGAGACCGACGACAGCAAGCAAGAGGAGGAAGAGAGGGCAGGGCAGCATGCACAAGCAAGGCACTCTCTCACAGGGAACCGCTGCAAAACTGACAAGAAGCATGCACAAACCACTGCCACGTCGGTCCTAACTGCAAGATGTCCTGTCGGCTCACACAACCTAACTGGCTCCACGACTGTCCTCTTTTTCCGGGCACCTGACAGGTTGGCAAAAGGGCAGAAGGCTTACGCTTCTGCGTCGGCGGTCCTGACGGGACGAGTGCAAAACCAAAAGGCCCGTGCGAGGCGCGAGCACCTGAAGAGCTGGGGTCCTAGGCCCAGTACCTGACTGAGAAGTCTAGCTTCCCTGCTGGGTGCATGCATGGCACCGGTGTCGGCTGTGTGCCCTCCGGAAACCTTTAAGGTTCCTGCGAGAGCACATGCCTACATAGCAAACGGGACAACGCACTCTGCAAACTGACGTGAGGTCCCAATAGTCCGGGGGGCTTGTGTGGTAGGGCTGCCCATCAGGAGCCGCTAACGGGGCCCAGTTGGGTAAGCCATCTTCTGCTCCTCGAACGGGAACTGCACGTCCTTTTGGGTCTCCTGTCCAGTCGGACGGGCGAGGCTGGCCCCACTCGTTTGACGGTCGCGTTGGCGGCGGCGACCTAACCGGCTGAGGATCACGAACAGGTGGTCCAGGGGGCTTGCTTGTAGTCGACGAGGAAGCCGTAGAGGTCACTGGTGGAAAGGCTGGCGGGCGCAGAAGCGTGTTCTTCTTGCTGACAGGGTCTGCCGCGCCCGCTGTCGTCGCCAAGGTCGCCTTGGGAGGAGTCTGGCCCGAACCAGAAGCCGAAGGCTCCGAAACTTCCACCGGCAGAGGGGGTGGTGGCGCCTTTTCCTGCCCAGCCTGTTTACCACCAAACTCGGCTGACAGGGCAGGCACTGCTGCAACTCCACCAAAAACTCCACCTGTGTCGGCTGCACATGCGGCCTGGGGCTCATTCGAGGAGTAGCCGTAGACCTCGGACGGGATCGTGTCCGCGTAGTCCTCGGGCGTTGTTTGTGTAACCTGGGCCCCACTCAACTCTTCCTCTGCTGCATCCTGACGGGTATCGGCCACCGGGGGGTCCTGAGACCACGAAGGTAGATCATCACGAACAGGGCCTTCGTCAGGTAGTTCGCCAAAAAGAGCAGAAGCTAGAACGGCCGGATCGTACGTTGCCTGTTCTAACTGGAGGCGGTACGCGCCCAACCCCTCTGCCACGCTTTGGCCGAACAAGGCAGCAAGCCTGGCACGGTGGCTCACACGGAATTCCGCAAGGGAATCCATGATAGCCTCCTCGGAGACCTCTGACAGGGCCTTCAAGGCCGCCACAAGAACAGGGCGAGGTCCACCTGTCCCAGCCATGGCGGCACTGGTACCTAACTGGAAGCTGAAAACTGGCACTCTTCGAGCTAACCACAGCTGCTGTGTTCGCACTGACTAACAGCTAACAGGAAGCTAACAGGAAGTACTGACAGGAAACACTAAAGACTTCCACACGCCTCAACTTGTCACTGTGTGCACACGTGCACTGTCTGACAAGTACGGCAGCGACGCGACATGCCAGTTGTAGATTGCAAAGTCTTTTTGAATCCTGCTGACATGTGCTGACAGTACGCTCGGAAGCCTCCGTGAGGTCGCCCTCTGCAAGGGCCCTGCGAGCTGCACGGGCCAGCTGCGCAGCCCCCCAGTGCTCGACTTCCTCGCGGCGAAGTCTGTTGACGTGACGGAGTGCCTCTGACTCACAGAATCTCTCAGAGGGACGCTTTCACAACGCTCCACTAATCGCTCTCTTCAGTCCGTCGGCAGGGCTGTAGACCTCAGGGGTCCCGGAGCGAGGGCCCGCAAGGCCGAGCGCATGGGCCAAATGGGCCAAGGCCGCTGTAGGCCGCCAAGGCCATCGACGCGTCGTGGTTTATAAAACTTTTTTAAACTTCGGAATGGAGATCTCCAAGCAGAGCCTAGGCCTAGGCGCTTCTCCCCTCCCTCCACGCCCTTCAGAGTCCCGATCACCTTCGACTTAAGACCCTGATTCAGCTCAGAGAAACCCCACACGAGAGTGCCTGGGTGTGAGCCTCGTTAATGTCTGAGTCTGCCGGCTTTGTGCCGGTGCTGATGCAAACAAGAACGTCATGCAAGCCAACGGCTAACCGACTCTTGCAAGCAGTCCGCAAACGTCAAGCTGCCTACCAGTAGCATCTGACAAGGTCAGGATGCATCAAGAGTACTGTCTTGCCCAAACGGCGCATCCGAATCTTCGAGGCGACGCGCCGCCCTTGCCTCCATCAGCAGGACAGCCACCTCGGGCAAGATGAATAAAACCAACGGCCCTCCACTGTTCGGAGAAACTCACGCAATCTTCCGGCCTCGGAAGTCTTATGTACATCAGTGGCCTCATCTAGCTGCTGCAGGTGCATGGCATCCCACCTGTCCTTAAGGTGCCGGGCGCGCTATTGCTTCTGCGAATGGGGTGGCGAAGCCGGTCCTTGCCAAGCGTTAGCTTGTTGTTGAGCTCAATCTCCAAGGTATGATGAGCTCCCATTTTCACCCATTGATTCTCCTTTGCACTGTCAGCTCAACATGCTCAACACAGCATGTGAATGGAGGTTACTGGGCACCGGTCGCCACTGCCGCAGCATGACTCTTGAACCTTTTTCCTTCTGCATGGCATCTGGCCAAGCACGCTGCCACTGCAGCTCGTTTAGCAGCTGTGCTGCAAGGTTGTACAGCATGCCCACAGCACAGGATGTGACAACTGCAGCGTAGCAGTCAGCGCTTGGGAGGCTCTTGCTTTCCAGACTCTGCTGCAAAAGGGCTAGACCAGGCTGCCAGCAATTGGAGGTTGTACATGCCAGCGTCGCCGTGTCAATTGACACTGCATCCGGAGTTGAGCTAGCGTCGCCTCAGCTTGCTACAAACATCTCAACGTCAAGGCCCTGCTGTGCAAATGATTGAGAAGCAGACCCATGCATTCCAGCAAATGGCAGGGCAGTCGCCACATTGCTGCCTCCAGGTTCTCAGAGCTTGAGTACACAGGAACTGTGAGAAACGCCGACAACGAACACGCAAGAGAATCGGGAGGACTGGTTGCTTGACAAAGCTTGATTTGTCGTGTTCACGACCTGACTCTGACAGCCTGAATCACTGAAGGTACGAGTATGTATGCACACAAGCGAGGAACGGATGTGTCTCCACACCACTCCACCCATGATTTCATACTTTGAATTGGGACACCTCGTTGTGGATGCCGTGGCTTGCCAGCACTGTGCAGCCCTGATCTTCCTCTCGCTTGGCCCGCAATTTACCACTTGGTAACCCCCAGCCCGTGGTACAGCAGTGTGGTCGCGCACTTGGCATGCGAAAGGCAACAGCTGGACGTTCTGTTCACCTCTGCTTTTGGCGGTATCGTTACTGAAACTCGCCATGAGACCCTCAGCTGAACAGTTAAAACGCTTACCATCGCCACCTTCTGCAGGGCAGACACGACGACGTTGTAACTCACACGGCCAGGAGCCACCCGCAGGGGTGGCATTAAGTGAAGGAGTTGCAGCGCTGGTTGCCAGAGGCTTCCTGTGATGCGACCAGGAAAAAACTATGAACAACTGCTACTGGTACGACAAGCTATTTTTGATGAAAACTTTCGATGAGAACGCCGTAGCAGCCCCAGCCAAAGCCCTTCAAGATGTCCTTTCTCTAAGCCACTTGATGCTGCATTGAATGTAACTTCGTTCGGACTGACATTCGCGGTGGCCATGTCCTGGGCTGCTCAGCCGATCGAGACTGCACTTTCCGCCCACGGAGTCACCAGTGACAAAACAAACCCAGAAACCGCGCCAAACCGGCCGCACGTGTGGCTTGCTGTTTTCACGTGTCGAAACACCAGCGAGGAATAGTTTTTATGAGCGAAAAATACTGGGACGTCATTTTGACTTCGGATCCGATACGGGCCTGATGCAAAAGTACAATACGTGACTAAGGCCGGAATCGGGCGGGGTTCTTCAGGCGATCCACTCTGCAAACTTGATCGGAAAGTCGCGTCCACTGCGCACATTCTAAGATTTCTGAGATCACAGCTTCGAAGGAGCTTGCAATGTGCACAGTTGTGACATGCCTTTTTTTACAATCGTCGCCAGAGCCCTGTTGGCATTGGGATCTCTTCCGCAATTCAGGTTGCTCGTGAAGCTTTGAGTGACCCAGCCGTGCGGCGTGTTCTGGAATTTCCTGTGCGGATGCGTGAAGCTGTTTGCCGGATGTTTTGACCCAGTATGAAGGAGTGATTCATGCCTTGTGCGCAAGAGTACGCTTCAGAACACAACTGGCTACGGATTTTGCAGAGACGCACATTGCTGGCTACCAGGGCCGCGGAGTCTGGCCACAGGTGCTGGCAAAATGTCAACCCCGCCCTTGCAGTCTTTGTGGAACGACAGCTTCAGAACGCAACAAGTAATATTGACAAGATACTTCTTCCACATGAAAAAACGCTGCAGGTCTCACCCTGAAACATGTGGGGCGTGATTACCCGGGCCGATGATTGCGCGCTTGTGTGACAGACGAAGCGTGCGCAGCGAGTGCAGTGAGCGGGGTGGAAAGAGAATGGATTTGATATGATCTATTTTGACCTTTTTGCAGCAATACTGAGCACCTTCGATTCTTTCCAGCCTGATCGAAGTTGCCCTGCCATCCCTAATGGTATGGCAGTTTGAAACGTTCGACGATCGGAGAATCGAAACCCTCACAGTATCCCACCTCAGTTCGAGGCCCAATCCCCTGAAATCAGCTCAGCAACCCATAGCAACTCGAGCGCAAGCTGCCAATTTCGCGCAGCTGCACAGGCGTTGACTGCAGCACTGCAACCTTTCGCCATGAGCAGGGTACCAACTTCACCTCAACCCCTTGGAGAGCCCCGCAATCCCAGCAGACTTCACATGGAAGCCCTGCGAAGTGCTACACTTCAGAGAGTGCTAGTGTCCACCAAGCGTCTACGACAAGCACCATTAGAAGCCATCTTGCTATTCAAACCCTAATTAATAATTAAGACATTTGGTACAGCTTTGCCCGCGGCCAAACGATCATAGGCTCTGATTGAAGCTGCTGATGAGAGTCAGAGCGAGCTTCGATTCAGGGCGGGGGTTTAGCGTCGCTTTTGAATTGTGGTGAGACCGCAATTGGCTTTAATATGCTTTAATCTGGGCAAAAGCCTAGTGACCTAGTGAAAAAAGTACAAAGTACAAAGTAATCCTCGCGGCGATTTTGGACCTAATGGCCTCCTGGGCCTACGGCTTACGGGTGCCTTCCTAATTAGATGTCTGAAGCGATCAGGCTTCAAAGCAATGATGCGGAATGTCCTTAAAAGCTATGTGATGTTCGCTCCACAAACATGTGTTCAGAGTTGTTTGCCGCATGGCGCAAGAATGCAAACTAGTTTCTACCGCTGTCGCTCTGACTCAAGGGAAGGGCCTTGCGCAATCCGAGCATTTGACTACGCCCGGGGCCAGCAAAACAGGCCCTACCGTGCTGTGACATCGCAGACTTCGGTTGCTGCGGTTGTGAACCTCTTGGTGTTCTTCAAGTTGGTAGCGGAGCGGCACACCGCTCCAGGGGCCTCAAGCCCGAGTGAGAGTATCATTGGGTGGCTCAGGAAAGGGCAAGGACGCCCCGACGACGTCTTCCTCGGCCACGGCAACGTCGAACCCCGATGTGGTGCGAGACAACTACATACCCCTCTTCGGCGGCCAGCCCAGCTCTTACAAGGAGTACAGGAAGAGAGTGGCCCTGTACTATAAGAAGATGAGTCTGGCGAACAAGAAGACCGAGGCCACGATCAACCTCCTGACGTCGCTCAACGGGCCGGTCTGGAAGCAGGTGGAGCACCTAGCAGAGACTGCTCCCGACGACGAGAACGGCTTCAATATTGTGTTGCAGGAGCTGGACAGGGTGTACCAGTACGACAGCCGGGTCGAGATGCCGAAGGCTTTTGAGCGTTTCTTCTATGGCGTAAGCCGGCCATACGGCCAGACCCTCATCCAGTACTGCTCCGACCACGGGGAGGCCGCGGCGAGGGAGCTGGAGCGCCACGACGTCAAGCTTCCGGACCCCGTTGGAGGATGGCTGCTACTGAGAAGAGCAGCCTTGACGGCCGAGCAGAGACAGCTCGTGATGAGCCAGGTGGACAACAAGAAGCTCAGCGTGAATACGGTTGAGCAGGCGCTGTTCTACCTGTTCGGCCAGGACTACAGGACAAGCACGACCGAACCTCGCCCCAGCGGAAAGGGAAGAGGTGTGCACTCTTCCCGGTGGACACCTTATCGCCACCACTACTCGCCGACCTATGCTGCGGAGGACGAGGACACGGTCCCCGAGCACTACGAGCCAGATTACCCCGACGAGCCCACGGAGGCCCAGTACTACGAGGACGAGCCGGACTACTATGACGAGGAGGACCAAGAGTTTACCGAGGGCGACCCCTACGACACCACCTACCTGGCGGACGAGGACGAAGGAGACGAGGTGGTGGAGGAAGCCTACGCTGCCTACCTGGACGCGAGAAGAAGGTTTGCAGAAGTCAAGGCGGGACGCGGCTACTATCCAGTTGTGGCCATGGTGGAACCTTCGGGTACACAACTGCCCGTCGCAGCGGTTCCCGGAAAGGGCAAGCCATCCAAAGGAAAAGGGAAGCAGAAGGGGACCGCCAAGGGCAAGATCAATGGCCCCCGAGGACCACCTCCTTCCAGCAAGGGTGCAGCCCGAGCTGACGCTACCCGATGCCTTCGCTGCGGACAAGTTGGACATTGGGCCTCGCAGTGCCCAAAGCCGCCTGCGCCACCCGGTGGCTCAGCGCCCTCCTCGCCGAGTAAGAGACCGAAGCAAGGAACGGCCATGATGGCGATGGGTTCCAACTCGGCTTTGAGCCCCAGACGCCTGCGACGCTGTGTGGGCTTGCAAGATGGAGATGCATCCTCCATGGTTGGAGGCCACAATTATGTCATGGAGATCATCTCGGAGTATGTCTCCGAGGGCTTGGACCCCGACACCCGCGCCTTCTCCCAGACACACAAGAGTTTCCTGTTTGGAGGAGACCACCGGTGCCCGCCGACTGGAGTGTACACCTGCCGGTGTGGATTGGAGGCACGAAGGGTCGCATCCAGTGCTTCCTGGTGGAAGGCGAAATGCCCCTTCTGAAGGCTTTGAAGGTGAAGGTGAACTACGACACTGACATGGTGTCAGTGTTGGGCGAGCCTTGCCAAAAGGGGAGCACCTACTCGCCCTTGATGACGGCATGAATGAGGACACCCTCCACTCCCTCCACGTGGACTATGACTTTGACTATGTCACTGATGACTGCGTGGAGGATTTTCTTGCAGATGGCGTCCTCCTCGGCCTGGGTGACTACTTGAAGCAGACGGGCCGCGTGGGTCCCGTCTTCACCTTGGACGAGATCATGCTTGAGGAGGACGAGCCCGCGATCAACCTCCTCGACGACCAGGCTCAGGAGATGAGAGAGAACGCCCACCTGACCCCTGCCGTCGAGTGCCCAGTTCCCCCCACGCTGTGGAAGAGCATTGTTTTTGGGATCAGCCGCTCCAAGAACAACCTCAACAGGCAGCTCGAAGCGGCTTATCGCGCCTCAGATGAGAGCTGTGTGCTTTTCTGGGAAGCTACAGCGGCTCTGGGAACCTAGCCGCCGCTATGAGACAGTATGGGTTTCAGACCCGTACCTTCGACCTGCCGGAGTGGAACTTTGAGGACGCCAGCCACCGACGATCCTTCTTTGAACTCCTGGAGAAGGAGATGCCCCACATTGTGTGGCTGGCGCCGCCCTGCACTAAATGGTCTCCCCTGCAGAACCTCACCAAGCGGACCCAGGAGGACCTTGACGTGCTGCAGGCGACCCGGGACTTCGAGCACCACACTCACCTTCTCTTCGTGAGGCGCGTCTTCCTGAGGATGGCTCAGCTCGGCATAGCCATCATCGAGCACCCCCAGAACTCTAAAGCCTGGAGCACACCGGCTCTGTACGACCTTGGACTGGAGGTCATTGTCGATCAATGTGCTCTTGGAGCGGCCCTGCCGGATGCCCAGGGCAACATGATCCCTATCAAGAAGACGACCAAGCTGGTTGTCAACCACCAGCTGCTCACGGAGACCCTCGGGGTATACAGGTGCGATGGCTGCCACCGCCACCAGACCCTTGCCGGATCTACAGGGATGATTGGTTCCAGGGCGAGGGCGGCTGGAATCTACCAGCCTAAGATGTGTGGCTTCCTTGCAGAAGCGCTGCAAGGCGCGTACTATGCCCACTTCATCTACGGCAACTCCACGGCGGAAGAGGCTCTCCCAGCTTCGGATGTTGATATGGAAGAATATGAACCGTCCGATGGACCGCCAGAAGATGACGACCTCTACCCTCCCCAGACCACGGGAGATCTTGCTGACCTCGACCTCCCGAGCAACAACGACATCGCCACACATCCCGGTGCACAACCAGATCCACCACAATCAGAGTCTACTTCCACACATCCTGGTGCACAACCTGATCCACCATCAGCCGTTCCTACGTCGATCAAGTTGACAGGATGTCTCCAGAAGTTAGAGTGCAGGACACCTGCTGAGGCTCAGCGTATCGTTGCCCGTTTGCACAGGAATCTTGGCCACCCCAACAACCGAGACCTACGAGTTGTCTTGGCGCAGAGTGGGGCAAACAGGTTGGTGGTAGAGACGGCGGAGAACTACCAGTGCCCCACGTGTCGAAAGCTGGCACCTCCCGTACAAGTTTTCAAGACGACGCTGCGCACCACCTTCCGCTTCAACGAGAGGTTGCTCTCTGACACGGTGTGGTTACAGGTGCTGGACAAAACCATCCCGGTCATCACTATGATGGACGCGGCGACCCGCTACGTCGCCGCCCGCGTGGTATGTCGGGAGACATCTGCGGAGTTCCTACAGGCCATTGAGAGGGGCTGGATCTGAGTCGAGGACCCTGTTTGTGGACAGCCATCGGGCATGGGGCAGCGATGAGTGAGCTGGTGATCTCCGCAGGCGAGGCTCACGAGCGACTCGCCCAGTTGGAGCGCCGTCACCAAGTGTTACGACGGGGGGTGGAGCTGTATTTGGAGGACAATCCACCTACCGGCCCAGAAAGCCTGGTTGAAGCCCTCTGCTTCGTGGTACCCCAGCTCAACCAGAGCCTTTCTGTTGGAAGGCTTCAGCCCCACACAATGGGTCCTTGGCTACCAGCCCAACATCCCCGGCAGCCTCCTGGACTCCGATGTCAACTACAGCCACTTGGACCCTACCGAGGCCTTTCAGCACAAGATGCAGTGCCGTGTGCGAGCGGCAACGGCGGCGGTCACTGCAGACAACGACCTACGTCTTCGACGAGCTCTACGACGACAGCACCGCGGCAATCCGCCACAGATGCTGGTGGGACAGAAGTGTTTCTACTGGCGCGAGCTCCGCCTCCTGCCACCCTAGCCCAGCCTACCGAATTCCACCGACATGAGGGCAATTTCCCGGACACGCCGAGTCCCGCGGACCCCCGCCTCCGCGACCTCTACACCCCCCCCAGGATCACGCTGGCCAGCACTCCTCTACCTCACGACGACAAACACGCCGAATGACGAGTTGCACCACACCTTCAGTCCTGAGCAGAAGAGAGCACGCATCGACCGAAGCGACACCATCAGCCACGTCGTGCACCCAACCGCACCCCTACTACTCCGGAGACCTTCGAGCAGAGGAGGTCCCGCATCGACCAAAACGAGACCATCAGCTATGGACCCAAGGAACCCACTACACCGGCACGACCACAGCCCTACGGCCCGACGACGGAACATGGTTTTCTCGTCGATGTTTTGGAGCCGGAGACCACCGACGACCTCCCGGGCTTCCCTCCGGGTGGTACGCAGACGAGTATGGATACTTGGCCCTGGAACCTGTTCATGATACCTGGGAGCTGAAGGGAAGTACCTTGATCCGGAACCACTATGTTGCCCGACATTCCCTCTTCCCGAGGAGGACCGAACGACCCGACGGGGAAACACTGCCATCAAGATCGGTGGAGGAATTCCCCCACCCCCAGTACTGATCAATACTGGACGGGCCAGACTTCGTTCAAGATCCCGGCACGCCACCGACGAGATGCACAACAAGCCTTCTATGTCAATTCTATGTGGCCTCCAATGGTGCAACAACTCATGCCGGCACCAAGGAGACAAGGCAGAAAGATGCCCGGAGCAACTTGAGCGAAAGAGCCATGTCTTTGGCAGACAGGGTGTCGTTCATACAGGCGAAGAAGAAAGAACTGGAATCGTTCTTTATGAACCAGGCGTGGGAATTTTCGCACGAAGGCGAGGCTCCGGCGAACAGAGTGCTCAAGGCCCACTTCATACTGAAGTGGTCCAAGCACCCTGATGGGAGTCCCCGAGCGAAGGCCCGACTGATCACGCAGGGCTTTCGAGACCCAGACGCCCTTGCTGGACTTCTGGACTCAGCCAGCCCTACCTTGTCGAGGCTTGGACGGACCACCCTCATGTCGTTGGCCTCCCTACGTTCGTGGAACACCTTCATCGCCGACATTACCACGGCGTTCCTACAAGGAAAAGAACATCGGGTCTCCCGGACTTTGTGGATCCGTCTTCCAGCAGATGCCCAAGCCCATCTCGGACCCACGGGTTCTCATGAAACTACGAAAGCCAATGTACGGCTTGGCAGATGCGCCGCGTGCATGGTTTGAGGAGGCATCCCGGAGGCTGCTCTCTCTTGGCTTCACCAAGCACCCCCTCGACGCCTGCCTTTTCCTGCTGTTTGACACCGAACTCAGGTGCGCGATCGGACTTCATGTTGACGACCTGCTGGGGATTGTGGATCCTTCCTTGGGCGACAAGGTCAACAAAGACCTTCAGAGGCTATTTGCCTTCCGGGACTTTCGGGAGAACCAGGAGCGCTTCGACTTCCTGGGCACCCAGGTTTCTCGACAAGCAGACGGTGGACTGGCCTGTGGGCATGAGGAGTATATCAATAAGATCAAGCCGATTGCCCTGGAAAAGAGCCGCCAAGCAGATCCCGACAGCCCTGCTACCGACAAGGAGAAGACCCAACTCAGGGCCTTAGTGGGTGCACTTCAGTGGGCGGCCACGCAGACCTCCCCACACCTACAAGTGCACACCTCGATGCTGGCGGGAGAAGTTCCAAAGGCTACGGTTGCCACCATACTGGCAGCCAACAAAGCACTTCGCTTTGCCAAGGCGAACTCGGACGTTCAGCTCCTCTACCCGCCGCTCACCGACAACCTGCGAGACCTGGTCTTCATCGCCTATTCAGATGCGGCTTTTGCCAGCCGGGCTGACATGTCGAGTCAAGGAGGCTACCTGGTCTGCTTGACTCACAAGGCCATCCTGAGTGGAGGAATCAGCAGCTACCACCTCTTGGATTGGAGGTCATTCAGACTTCCATTGGTGGCCCGATCCACCCTGGCAGCGGAAGGACAAGCCGCCGCCGAGGCCGCCGACTGCCTCCACTTTGTCATCACGTTTTGGGCATTGTTGGACCCCACCTACAGGATTACCAGCAACGAGCGCTGTTTCCTATGGGAGAATGAGAGCCTCCTCGTGATTGACGCCAAATGCCTGTACGACATTTTACACCGCGAGGAGCTCTATGTCTCCAGCGCCGCGGACAAGCGTACATGCCTGGAGGCCCTGGTGACTCGCGACAAGCTGAAGGAGGTTGGCGGAAGTGTGCGATGGGTATCTTCCGAACGACAGTATGCTGATGGCCTCACCAAGGACTCAGCGACCCAACTCTTTGGCGGATCGCTTGAGGACGCACCAGCACAAGATCACGGCCGACGAGACCTACCAGGCAAGCCGGAAGAAGGACGCTACCGAAAGGGCGAGGAGCGCTAATCAGTTCGCGCGGCCCAAGGCTACTGCGTCTGGTATTGCAGCTGCTGCCCAGAGGACGCCGAGGCCCTCGTTACCTACAACCTCCCCAAGGAGACCGATGTCTACGAGACCGGCGTCTACCTGTTTGTGATCATCCTGGTGATCCTCCTGCTGGCCTACTGGCATCCGTGGACGTCATGGAGACTACAGCGGTTCCGTAAAACCGCCCCCTGCCATGCAGAGGCCACCGCCCAGACCGACGCCTCGTACCTTGTCCAGCCCTTCCCGGAGATGAGGACGTTTGCCAACCGTGGCATTCAGACGGACGAGCTGTCACGTGGAAGCAGGCACTCATCACTGGAGACGGTGCTGCTTGAGCTGGCCACGGTTCGCGATCAGAACCGCAGATTGGCTGCTGCTGTTCAACAGCAGCAACACCTCCTCGACTACCACACGAGCAATCGACTCAGCCACCATCACGTTGGGGAGATCTATGTCACCCCTTACGGACATGTGTGGCACACCAGCGATGTTTGTGCACAGAGCCGCACCGAGAACCGAGTGCAAGCAAGGGCCCCGTGCTCATACTGCACTGACACCTGGATACCGGTACCCGAGCACCTCCGCTACAACCCACGGTTCAGGTTGCAGCATCTACCGGATCGGGACCACGCGACCGCCTCATCCTCTACTACTTCCTTCGGCGGACCCACCTTCCAGGTTCTCGGAGAGACGAGCTCTTCCTGAAACCCTTTCAACCGACAACCGCACTGGCTGTCAATCAGACGCCCAATTTTCATTGGAGCCACACATGGCGAAATAACCGCCCCCTGTGTGATGTCCGCTCCACAAACATGTGTTCAGAGTTGTTTGCCGCACGGCGCAAGCCTGCAAACTAGTTTCTACCGCTGTCGCTCTGACTCTACGGAAGGGCCTTGCGCAATCCGAGCATTTGACTACGCCCGGGGCCAGCAAAACAGGCCCTACCGTGCTGTGTGACATCGCAGACTTCGGTTGCTGCGGTTGTGAACCTCTTGGTGTTCTTCAAGAGCTAGAAATTCAAATCAAGCCCTGGCAGAAACAGAAGCCACTTAGCTTGGGCTGTTGGGCCCTGAATCTGCCGGTGCTGGAAGAGGTACGAAATCAGCCGACGGAGCTGGCAGCAGTCTGCATGTCAGTAGCAGCAGTGCCCTGACCCAACCCGAACTCATAAACAGCTCATAAACATTGAGTTGAATCCAGTGTGCGTGGTGTGTTGTGCGCGCTTACTTATTTTCGTGTAGAGCTGAGGTAGGTTCGGCCAGGGAGCTCACGACATCGATACCTTGCCATGAGACGGCAATGAGGAGAGCAAGCTGCCACTGCCCAGGCTCACATGCACTGATAAGCGAACTCCGTGTGAACTGATCTGGCTTCAGCCTTCCATCCAGCAATAGGCAGGCCCGCTTCAGTGCATGATAGTTCTGCTCACTTGCTTGCAGACACAATTTCTGAAGACACTCAAGCTGAGCTTAAACATCCGACTATGTTGTCACCAGACGAAGCATGCAAGATGCCTCCACTGTGTCATCTGCTCGAAAAGCTGCAAGGCAGCTTCCCACTCCAATGCCCGAGCACAGGCACCGACAGCTGCATTGACTGCGACGAGGCTCGCAGAGGAAAGGGAGAGCCAGTCAAGCAGGCAAAGTGCTTGCTGCCAGCGCCCTTCTGGCATCGATCGCAGTGTTGCGCTGTGGGTAAAAGCATCCGGCTGCAATCCCAAACCTTTGCCACTGCTTGCAAGCTGAAGTACACTCCGCCAGACGCTGCACCTCGTCAGTGCGGTCACTGCACTGTTCAGTCCAACAAGATCAATCTTCTCCTTCAGCAGGAGCAGTGCTACAGTCCATGCGGCCACATCTCCATCTCCACAAGCTTTGATGACCGTGTTCACTGAGATTTGGTCTGGCCTGCATGCTGATCTTCGCAGGTCCTGAAAGACGATGTGCGTTTGTCCCCAGTTTGCCCACCTGGCCGTCAGTGCCGCATTGGCCACGCTCAGTCGAAGGTCGTTGCGTAGGTCGGAAACTTGACGCTGTCCCGCCAACGGCTTCGGTTGCAGCATCAGAGTCATCATCTGCAGACACATCAGCCATTGGCTTCCAGCTGCGACTGAAGTCAGCGCAGATTTCAAGTTTACATTATCTGGATTCACTCTCCTGAGCCTCATGATTTCCAGAGCATCCACAGTCAGCCACCAGGCAGAGTTCAAGCCACATATGAAGTGGTTGTGCATGATCTGGTCTGGCAGGACGGAGCAGGCCTGCGAGCGTGCCATGTGCTCTCGCATGCCATGGCAAGGGAACTGGACTCTCGCGTCTGAGAGGCTGCCGCCTCTGAGCGGGCCATCATGTTGCACACATGTTCCCACGAGCAAGAGGTCGAGACAGCCGCACTGTAGCTCACCTTGCTAGGCCTGCGATATATGTGCCGATCGCACAGGCAATCACAAGCATCATCAAGCATCTTGTTCTTGAACTTCGGGACCCCAAGCCCGGGCCTAAGCCTCGACTGCACCATGGCCGAGACTTCGAGGAAGGCCCGTGACCAGGGCGAGGCGGCCAAGAAAGCGTTGTAAAGCGTCGAATCTCTCCTTGCGTGTTGCTCAGGAGCGCACAGCTGCAACGTGCGGTGACCAGGGTCCTTGTTCCTGTCCGTCGGCAGGCACTATGCAGCTGCTGTGCTTTAGACCATAAGCTGTCCTGTTTCTCAGTGCATGGTCTTTGCAGAACCGATGCTGACTGATAGCAGTGGAGCCGCGCAAAGCAACAAAGTCCTTGGAACAAGAAGAGATGAGGGAGGTGTAGCTCAGCGAATCTGGTTTCCTGAGCTCGGAACTGCTTCAGCAGTGACAAGGTAAAGATCGAAAGAAGCGCATCCGTCATCAAGGCAAGTATCAACATCGATTGCTTCATAAAATCCAGGAGTTTGGCCGCCTCGCACCATGATCGCCCTTTGCCCCATGCATCAAGGGCCGCGTTGCAGTGGATTACGTTCACATCCTCAGAAAAAACTAGCATGGAGTCCGACTCAGGCTTTCCATACTGCCGTACGGTTGCGACATGTCAGCACATCTTTGGCTTACCCTGACAACATCGGGGGGTTTGGGTTGCGTCTCCCATGTTCGTCTTTACTTTAGCTGCTGACGGATGGGTGTGTGGTAGCCAGTTGCGCTTTCGCTCGTTGCGGTTCCACCCGCGCAGGATGACATGCAGAGCTGCAGGACCTGTCACTGTCAGGTTATCCAAGACGACGCCAAGAAGAGCATGGCCACTGCTGTGAATCACTGGAAGCAGTCACAGCACGTGCCAGAGGGGCAAGGCAAAAAAAAAGATCTTGAGGTGTTCAGGGAGTGCCGGATTCGCTCATCAAGCTTCATCTCCGCTCATCACACAGCATGGCCAAGGACAACGTCGTGACAGCCACTGTCCACACCGGACAGAGGCTGCGGACAGCCGCTGTCAAAGCCGCTGCCCACCAGACTCATGTGGACAGGCCCTGTCCGCACCTCTGACGCCTGCGGACAGCCAGTGTCCAGCCCAGGCCCGTCGTGGACAGCTGCAAACAGGTGCCCGGCTGGGCTTGAGCCGCTCAGCCCCGGCCCTGGGATCGACAGCCACTGTCCACGCCCCTCTGGCCTGGGCCCAAGCGTGGACAGGCACTGCCCACGCCATCCCGGCCCGAACCTATGGACCTCAACAGACTTCAATCGGGGAATCGTAGGCCCCCAGATACAGACGCTGCTGCAAGACAAGAGACCCAGATCTGCTTCTTGCTGAGATTCTGATCTCAAATCTGCCGAGAGTCGACAGACTGATGTGCCATGACGGCCAGAACATCGGCAGCTATCGAAGGCAGATTTCTTGTCGCCAGTGCTTTAAGAAGGGTGGTTGCAAACTTCGGGTTGCGATGCCTGGCAAAGCAGTCGATGTGCTGTGGCTTGCTACAAGCAAACGTCACCAGCCTCACTGGACAGAGCATAAGTGCACAGTACGAGTATGAGTAGCGCGGGACAGCCTACTAAACTAAAACCTGATGTGCAGGTATGTCCAGAATTTGCCCAGATGCCAGAGCTCCATCTCCTCTCGCAGTACAACAGCAACTTCCTCTTGCGAAAGCGGGCGTTCGGCCAGATCCACGAGCAGTTTTTCCAGGTTGCCATGGTTGCCTCGCTTTCTTTGCATCGTGTGATGGCCGGGTACCACCGCACTGCCACTGCGGCCGCTTCTGCCGCAGCCCACTCGCCAATGTTGCTGTTGAGATCGCAACTGTAGCAGCGCCTCTCGAGGGGCAGCTTTAAAGTGGAAGCAGACGAGCAGACGGCACATGATTGGGCAAGGCCTCCCATTCAGGAAAAGTGCTGCCACTGCCATTGCACGACGTTCTGAGTGCACGTAGCACTCTGCAGACTCCCTGCTCTGACCATCTGTGGCCACGCAAATGCTACGGAAACTCGTGCACTCATGTGTGGTCAACTTCGTGCCGAACTTGCAAAAACTGTTCCCTACCGATGTTCAGCATGTCCTCGCAGTTCTTGCCTGAATACCGTATGCAGTTTCCAGCGGCATCGTACTCAATGGACTTAACCTCCCGTGCAGAAATGCAATGCCAAACTGGCCGATGCAGGACGCTTACGAGGAGCGCCTCCACGGTCATCTGTATCCTTGCAATCCCCGCAGTCAGAGAAAGCAACATGTGTCCCTTGCTCGTCCCAGGGTTCTCTCACTGAAGCCTCAGATTGCAAGCGAGTCTCTTTCGAACTTCAGTCTGGACGGTACCAGTGCTGCCTTCTTTCTGGATCTGCAAAGGGTTCACGGCTGGACTCACGAGCCACAGTATTCGTGGCGCCATCACGTGGTGCAAGCACAGCCGGAGGTCAACAGTCAGTACCTTTTCCTCGGCATGAGCCGCCAAGATTCGCTAAGCCGCCATGATGTATTCGTTCCGATTTGCTCCGCAACACATCTAAACGTTGGCGGGCCGTCGGTGGCAATTGCAGATGCTGCATTGTGATCCGGGACACGAATCCCAATGATGACGTCGAAGTGCATCCGCGCATGCGGCGAAGCGCCGTCGGGAGAGTGGGACGACGCCTTGGCCTTTGAAGTCGTCTCCATCACAGTCGCAACTGGCCTTTCAGATGGCGCAGGCAGGGTCAGGGCTCAATGTACTCGCTGCCGGATGCCGTCACCTCGCGGACACATTCTGACAATGCGCCGTGACATCGACCCAAGCTCCAGCACGCCATGTCAAAGAACCCTCTGATGGTCAAATGCCAAGGTGCGCTTTTGCCAACTTTCTCGCATCATATCTTCCAAAATATACCTCTGCCTCATGCTGCCACATCTGCTGAATTTAACATGCCAAATCACGCAGAAAGGGAGTCGCATGTCCGTCTCTTGAATCCTTCAACACTTCTGCATGGGACTTGCGTTTCGGCGATGATACGCAGTGCTGCCATGCATGTCACAACAGAACTTCACAAAACACCGGAAGAATCAATTTTGCGAAAGAGGATCGGTGCAAGAAGCCGCAAACCAGCACCTAAGATCTGTGGCAATGAACCATCTGCAGCACTGTAGGCATGCTTCGTTCATCCAAAGGCGAAACATTTCGAGTGTAATGGCTCTGCTCGCCTTGTGTGCAGGCAACTACTACTGGCGCGATACATCACGCATTCGTCGTCATGCTTCTGGCATCTTTGAATTTGAGGGACTCAGAAAATTCTGCCTCAGACTTCGTCTCTTGCGACTCTTGCAGGCCTGGCGCCCAGAATGCAAGGCCGACGAGAGCATAGACAGCATCCTTGCGATATGACCGCCGTGTCTCTTCATCGATTCTTACCTATGCACTCATGTAGGGCAAAAGCCTCTCTGACTGAGCTCGACTAACCCCCATCGCATGAATCGCATCCTGTCGCGGTGCTCCACGGTTCCCTTTCCCTCTGCCCTCGAAAAGGCCCCCGGGCCAGCTACGGCTTCGCTTGCGTTTTGCTTGCTCAGACTAGCTTGTGATTTGAGGGCCGTAAGGCCGTAAGGTTGCAGCAGCTGCTACGTCAAGTGTCGGCTGGTCCACATGCCGTCGTGCAGTTGAAGGCCTTCCTGAGGGAGGCTCAAGCGAAGCAAGGCGGAGCACAGGCAAAGCTATGCTGCTATGCTGGCTCAGCCAAAGTGACCTTAGGAGCTGCTTCCGAAACCAGTGTACAACATTGTGTTCACCTGCTGGATGACCCCAGGCGATGAATTGCAGAAACCACGAGAACACTCCGCAACAGTCTGACAGCACGAAGAAGAGTATGCCTCGGCTGAGGCAGAGCGGCTTCAACCCCTGCTTCGACAAATACAGACATTTGTGCAAGCAAACAGGTCAGCCTGAAACCACCCAAGGATCAGTTGCTTCCCAACCTCAAAAGGGCGGCATTCCAACACATGCAAACTCTCAATGGACCTTCGCTGTGACTTCCAGACAGCTGACGGATGCTCACAGGCGAGGCACCAGCGGAAAGGTGCGTAAAGCGGGGCGAAGCGAAGAGCTGCTCGTCCCCAGAAACTTGGGCGCTGTGCCAAGACGTCGCAGGCGAAGTAAAGCAGCGCATACCTTATCTCATCTTCCGAGGCGCAGGCGAATCGAAGAAACATCCCTCGGTGCGCTCTTGTACTGGTTGTGCTGCTGTGGCGAAGCTGTCTTCCATCGTGCAAGCAGAAAGCAGCGACAAATCAAGATGTACGGCGGAAGACTAATCTCTAAGACACCGACTCAAGCCTTTCGCCCGAATGGCCACAACCATGTCAAGCCGTTTCGAGTGTGATGTAGATCCTATCAATCGAGGCAGGTGAATCGCTCCTGTCGTCACTGCGATCCAAAGTGTGCCACAGATGCTGACGGAGCGAGCCAGTGATTTGATGGTGCTAAGTACTACTGCACTCTAAGGTGCATGAGGATGGCAGTGCCGGAGGTGAAGAAGCTGTATGAGGGCGACCAAAGCCGCTTGTTGAAAGGCAGCCAGCCCGACATGGAAATTCCCGCCACTGTGCAAAACGCTGCTAGCATTGTCCAGTGTACAATGACCTCTTCCGCAGACTTCAGCAGTCTCCAGGCGTGCCCAATGTGTAGACCCAAGAACATGGGCAACACCGCGCTCAAAGTCGTCACCATGCCCTGCAGGGAACACAGCTGGAAGACATGATCCGCCGTTGCGATCCCGCAGGGCCTCAGGGTCGAAGCCGAAGTTTGCCGCAGCAGTTGGACTCACATTGTTTCCGACAATGTAAAGATGGTTGATGCCCAACACACAGCTGTCCAGCCAGCCCACGCTGCTACATCCCATCCTGAGGAGTGAGCAGTTCGCCAGTCCAAACGCGCTTCGCCACACTTAAATGCCCTTCACTCTCTAGTACGAAAAAAGCCGGCTCCATCTGCTTGCATGGCAATACCCTGCTAGATGTTCCAGTGTATCCTTCGGAGGTCCTTAGATCGGCCTGCCTCATTACTGACATGCCGAAATGGGGACAACGGCTCCTGCACCAGCTGGCAGTAGCTGGCAAACCCACCAGAAGGCGTGCTGTGCCGGAGCATTCGTGAGCGGGCACTAGCTCCTTTTGACAGTTGTGGTATTCCAACGCTATGCCAGTTGTCATTCACGCTTGCAGAGCTCACCGCCCACCCTTCCAAGAAACTGACTGACCTTCTGCGCAAGTTTAAGGACACGAGTCCCCCAACGGCTGAGCCGGTTTTTCCTCTGCCAAACTTCTCCGAGATTTGGCGCGGCTCGGCTCCGGAGAGCTCGTTGCAGTTGCCTGTCGTACTCCTGTCGTAGCACATGCCGTGCGCCTGCCGACAAGATTCTTGCGCAGAATCTCTGGATCGTCAGGCCCAAAGAGCACGCCGGAACAGGCAGGCCAGGAAGCCGGGGGTTTCACTACGTAAGTGAGCAGACCGCCGAGCCCGACGATCAGGAGCACGACCTTAGATGGGACCGAGACACGTCACCACTCTCTGACTAGATGATATTAGGTGCCTCTGTGCCACTGCCCACTGCCACCGCGAATCCGCAAGAAGCCGAAGACCCAGATCAAAGCGGTGTCCTCCGGCCACACTGTCTCCTACCGATCATCTCACGCTCTGCCTTTGCGTGCCCTAGGACATCTTAGGACCTGGTCTTTTAAGGCTGTGGCTGCAAAGTGGAACAGTGAATCAGCACTGCATGACGCGTGAACCCAGGCCTGCAGACTGCTGGTGAAGCAGCTCACTGTCACTGGCTCTACTGCGGGAGCCAGGGATGTAAAGATCAATGATCATGACCTGATCGTGCGGGTTACATAAGATCTAGCATTGACGTACGGCAATCTGAGGCCGACTGACCTTTTCGAGATGACCTAGATGAAACCATGCCGAGCATCTGCAAGAAACACCACCGCAATTCGCCTGGCATTTGAGAAAGAGACGACCGCAAAGCCGCACGTCCCGAAGCACTGTGAAGCAGACGAGATACTGCAGAATGCCCATCACGCGGAAGGTGGCGAGATCAAAAACAAGAAGTGGACCTGCCTGGCATCCGAAGCCAAACAGCGTCTTTTGGCAAGAACCGAGAACGTGCCAGCCTTGGTCACATGAAAGGCACTGCCCTGCACGGCAAGACCTGGGTCAAACAGACGGAGGGTCGCATCTCGTAGCTAGTGCTGTCGCTGCTCGAGTCTTCGGCCTACAAGGAAGAGCCTCAGGGACCGCAAGAGCACCCGGCCAAGCACTGAAGCCTCGATTCAACTTAGGGCTATGGTCGGGTGAATTCCAGCAGCTACAGGAACGGCTCTCACAGTTGGTCAAGAGCTCTGAGTGCCCTGCACGCTGCATTGGGTGAACCTGGTTCGACTTCCAAGTGCCGTGCTAACTGCGAGAGAATGGACAACGGAGGAGTTTGGCGGGGAGAGCGGCCGATCAGAAAGCTCTAGTTGACATTGCAGACCCGCTGCCGGAGAGAGTGCTGCACTGATGCCGGAGATGAGCAGGAAGTAAGGCATCACGAAATCTGCGAGGTGTAAACCATCCCAGGCAGCATGTCCAATGCTGGGATATGCATCGCCAGCGACGTCCACAACCAGCATCACAGCCTTAGAGGGCGGAGTAAGATTAGGCAATTCAGTTTGAGTGCGGGGAATCCTTTTTTGTCGATGCGAGCTTCACTAAGGTCTGCACCATCGTTATGCCTCGCATGACGTCGAGCCCAACCAATCGGCTCTTCGCGCTGCTAGAGGGTGGCACAGTTGGAGTCATGGCTGCAGCGAAGACAAGCTGCACGGAAACTCCAGACACCCTGCCAAACTAATCCTCCTCCCCCAATTTTATGGAGCCGACAGACAGGCCGCAAGTGCACTGCCATGACACGTGCAACACAGCACAACACAATGAAATCCCATGGCTGCTCTTGCTCTTCAGGGTTAAGGCAGGTGCCTGAGGTGCACCCAAACCGTCGGTGAAGGTCCAAGCTTGCTTCCCTCTCTCGCACTCGTGCCCGGTCTTCAGCAAAGATGGAAAGAGGAGTTGCCTCTGCGGCCTGGACGTGCCTGGACATTGTCAAAGGCGGTATGGCTGGCCGCTAGTCACGTCTTTCCATTCTGTCCTGGATGTCTATTGTGGCAGCGTGCCCTTGGCCACCCAACCCGACCACCCCTGCTGGTTTCGGAGTAAGGTGGCTTTGGGGCGATCTCCGCGAGACATGGCGGGCGGTGGTGGGCTTCTTTGCGGCTCCCGCTTTCTTCGACTGCCGCATGAAATCCCAAAGCAATTGCGTTGCTTTAAGACGCAAGTCGTGCGAACAGTGTCAAACACCCCGTTTTGCCGTCACATCACGTCACCCTTTCCTTTCAGCGCGCCTGAGGAGCGAGGAGTAACCCAACAGCCTCACTTCGCCACCAACCGCTACCTACCTGGTCCGACTGCTGCCTGCTGCATGACACCTGTGCTTCAGAGCCCCTGCAAGCCACAAGCAACCCGCAAACTCAAGACCTCACCCACGGGTTCTCCCGCTTCCTTGCCAGCAGCCAGCTAGCTAGGGGTATGGACACATGGTTGAGCCTCACGGCACGCAGCCACTTGGTCTTGTCTCGGGGGGAGGTCCATTTTTTCTCGTCGTGGCAACTCTTCCATCTTGTCATTGGGTTCTCTCTCGTTCTTTCTGTCTCGCTCTCTCTCTTCTTCTTCGGCAGGGCTTGAAGGGCTGTTAAAGCCTTCTCTCTCTCTCTCTCTCTTTCTACAGGGCCAGGAGAAGGCAGCGGTCTCTCTCTCTCTCTCTCTACCTACAGGGACATGGGAGCGAGGCGGTCCAGCGCCCCCGCTGCGCGCGAACACGCACCCGCAGTCCTTCGGGTGTCTTCTGTCCTCTTATGGTTTCTCGCCATAAGAGGCTCGTCTATACAGGAACGAAATGTTTTGGCCCCCCGGTTGTCACGGGGTATCAGGGGACGCAACAGCTGAAAAACTGCAAACAAACCGAGTGAAGCTGGCCAAAACCAGTAGAATTAGTTGTGCGTCCCCACATCGTGGGTGGGCTCGAAACGGAACAGGGGATGAAGGAAAAGCGTGCTCTGTTTCCCCCGGTTTTGTCAAGGTTTGTATGAAGTCGAATTGGTGCCTTCAGTCCCCCGAATTCTTATCAGAGTACGACAGGAGAGTTGAAAAAATTTAGGACTTGGGGCTAAGTGGCCCGGTTTGCCATTGCATGTTAGAGAAATCACACCTTGAAAGTAATCTCTGGAATCCCCCCTCAGACGTTGCCGTTCGGAACTTTTTCCATGTGCGAGCGTAGCCTCCAGAGCGGTGAAGCTCCCCCGAAACGAGGTCAAAAACTGCGAGAGGGTACCACCCCTCTTTCACTGTCGTCTGCCATAGCTGCACTGTCTCCCCCTGGCGCTGCGGCTACGTGCCATATGTGCTTGGACCTGCTGGACGTTCTGCCACATGTGGTTCGGGATAAGCTCAATCCCCATCCCATCGGCATGGTCCTCGTTGTAGTCTTGCGTGTCACGCGTGGTGGTTCCGCCGATGGTTCTGCACCAAAGCTGCTGGCCCGGTCCGACGGCCTGCCTGCGGCTCCCCACGGCCAGTTGTGGCCCAGACTTTGGCCTTCTTGGCTGTCATCGTCGCTGCTTCCCCTCTAGTCTGGAGGGCTGTCCACAGTCGCCCCCGTCGATGCATTTGTCACATGATGCTCTCTTGCATCGCGGGTTTCCTCCGTGTTGTTGTCGGTGTCCTGGTGGTAGTAGTGCGGGTTCCCCCTCGAGAAGTTGCTGTCGGTGGCACGGCAGTGGCTGCACGGTTTCCCCCCCGGCTTGCTCGCAGGAGCTTTTTTGCGTGGTGAGGAAAACGCCCCACATAGATCCGGGTCTCTTCTGCCTGTAGCGGGAGGTATTTGTCCACGATGCGAACCAATTTGTCCGCCGTCCTCCCGCCTCTTTGTGTCTGTCGTGCTTGGAAGGCTCGGTATGCTTTGGCTTTGGCTGTGGTGAGGACCCCCGGTCACCATGTCTTGGTAGTGTCTGTTGCTTTGCTGTTGTATGTCTCGCCCGATCCACTCATCCAAGGGTTCGGGCTCATATAGTAAGGTCAGCCCCCGCCTCGTTGCAAAGGCCGTCATGTCGGCAAGAGGCCGAGTCGACGCGGGACCTTTATCTCCAAGTTGGTCCTCCCCGCGCGGCTGGCTTTGTCCTCCCCCGCTGTTGTAGAGGTGCCGTGCGGGAGGTGTGTTGCCTTTGGCCGTAGACCCATGAAGCCTGCATTCGGGGTCCGTCCTGTCATGAGTTTTCCTGAAGCCGATGGTGCAGGTCCCCCCACCATGTCTGCATAGACGACATCTCCCCTCCATTGCACCACGTAGTGTGAAGGTCACAAGGTCGCCCTCGTTGCCCAAGTCACGATCACTGAGGTGGCGATCTCCCCCACCCAGACAGGACGTACGGGAGGGGCGGCATGGCAACAAATGCGTAGTCCTGGTGCTCGGAATGATTTGTCCCCTCTCCTCAAGAGCTTGCGGGTTGAGGTGCTTGCAGTAACCAGGTCACCTGCCAGAAGGCAAGAAGGCTCCCCTGGAGTAACAGTCCAGGTCAAGCCCCCGCCTCCTCCCCGATGCGAGGAGGGTGAACAGCCCCGCCCACAAAGGTGCAGTACTTGAGCCAAAATGGCTACGGTCTCTCTCTTTCTTTCTTTCTTTCACAGGGCTACGGTCTCTCTCTCTCTCTCTCCCGAGCAT